GGAGCCGGTGTTGCAAAGAAATGGATGATCTTTGAAGACAGCTTTAAGAGGGTATGAAGGATCCTAATCCTTCTATCATTGGTGGGGATTTCAACTGTATATTGAACAAGGAGGAGAAGAGAGGAGGTAAGAGGTTCTTATTTTCCAAAGGACCGGAGATATGAAACAGTTATGACAAACTCAGATTTTCATGATGTGAGAAGTATTGGACCAAGGTTCACTTGGTGCAATAACAAAGAAGAAGCCTCTCGGATTTGGGAAAGATTGGATATATGTTTGGTGAACTCGATTGCTCTTCAAAAAATTCCTTCAGCTCTTACTAGGCATCTAGCAAGAGTGGCATCGGATCATAGTCCAACTGTCTTTAAATTGGATGAGAGGACACATTTCAAGATGAAGAGTATTAAATTTGAGGATACTTGGAGATCCTATCCAGAGGCTAAAAGCATTGTGTATCATTCTTGGAAGAAGAATGATTTTGGTGATGAAAGTGCTATCCTTCAGAGAAAAACTAGTAGAACGCTGAAAGCATTATTCTTTTGGAGTAAAAATAAGTGTAAGGATTTGAAGACACTTAAGGAAGATCTGAAAAAGGAAATTCTTGAACTTCAAATCGAAGAAGTTGTGGGTGAAAATTGGACTAATGAGGATCTTCTTTTGCTTAGAAGCAAAGTTCAGGAGCTTAATGTGACTTTGAGGCGATTATCTACTTGGTGGAATCAAAGGGCAAAAGCTAGATGGCATGAAGAAGGAGACACTAATTCAAAACTGTTTCACAACTTTGCCACGGCTAGAAGGAATGAGAATAGGGTGGTTCAAATTAAAGATGTGCATAACAACATATCAGAGGAATATGATCAAATTGAGAAGGTTTTTATTCAATATTTTGAAGCTAAATGGAAATATAGAAACTGTGAGCTATCAGGTTGGCCGATGGCTGCGGAGAACCAGAAACTGAGCCAAGATGATATTGCTAATTTGAGCTCTGATTTCACAGTGGCCGAGCTGCAGGCCTCACTTTTGCAGCAAGGAAACAACAAATCTCCAGGTATGGATGGAGTCACTTCATTTTTTATAAATGCTATTGGGATATTGTTTGGAAAGCATTATGGGAAGCTATTAAGTGCTTCCTAAATTCTGGTCATATGAGTAGGAATTGGAAAGATACTCTAATTGTTTTGATTGCTAAAATCAAAGACCCTTTAACTCCATCCAACTACAGGCTGATTAGTTTATGCCAGACTAATTATAAAATTGCAGCCAATATTCTATTTAATAGATTGAAGAGATGTATTTCCAAAATGATCACTAAAGAGCAAATGGCTTTTGTGCCGGGAAGGTCTATCTCTGAGCATTGCTTGGTGGCTCAAGAGATCTTTGCAAGTTCAAAATATCCAAGAACAAGAAGGAATTGATGGCTCTGAAGCTAGATATGGAGCAGGCTTACGATAGCATGGGATGGCCTGCACTTGATCAAATTCTTAAATGGTATGGATTCCCTTGTATGTTTTCTAACCTTCTCATGGAATGTGTTATAGATGAGATCCATCATTATTAATGGGAAGAATTCTGAGTGGATTGATGCTCAAAGTGGCTTTCGTCAAGGATGTCCACTCTCTCCATATCTCTTCATCATGTGCTTCCAGTTGGTTTCTAATTCTCTTAAGCAAAAGGGATAGGATCTTGGTATTAGAGTCTCTCCTAGAGGCCCTAGGATTACACATCTTCTCTATGTAGATGATGTGCTAATCTTCTCTCATGTCTCTATATGTTTAGCTAAAGCCTTGAAGAAGATTGTTGAAGATTTTTGCAAATGGACGGGCCAAAGGATCAATGTTAGTAAATCTCATATTCTCTTTGGCAAGGTGTTGGGATATCCAATAAAGAAGAAGATTGCCAGATTGTTTGGTTACAAAATTGTAAAGGAGATGAGCTACCTAGGGATTAAGATGTCCCTTAATAGATTAAAGATGGCTGATTTTCAAGATGTGTTGAGTAATGTCATGGATAGGCTCAATGCATGGAGTAAGAAGTCATTATCTTTGGGAGGTAAGATTGCTGTCATTACTAGCTCTTTTTTGTCTATGCCAAACGTTTTAGTAACTCATTCGTTAGTTCCTAAAAAAGTGTTGTATGAGATGGAGAAACTTTGTAGAAGTTTCATATGGCATAAACCTGATGGAGATCGGAGTATTCATTATGTGGCTTGGGGAGAATTGTGCAAGCCGAGAAGTATGGGAGGGATGGGTCTTCATTCTCCAGTTATGAGGGTTAGTTCGTTGAGGTCTAAGTTGGCTTGGGATTTCTTTCAGAAACCATATACTCTTTGCCACAGAACTCAAGCACAAATATGGGGATGATATAATGAATGGTACGCACAAGAAAGTAACGTCAAATGCATGGAAAATTCTGCTTGATGGGGGAAGAAAGTTGAAGAACATAACCAGATGGGTACTTGGCAGTGGGGATAAGGTCAATGTGTTAAATGATATCTGGGTTTTGGACAAGTGCATTAACAGGTGGCCTACATTGGTGGATTGTGTTGCGTTGGAAGGGATGTATGTAAGCCAACTGCTATTGAATGAAGGCCAGTGGAATTATGCGTTACTTCAGGAAGTTTTCCATCCTGATTTCATTTTGTTGATCAACAATATTCAGATTGATCCTGGGTTGGAGGACCGGAGGGAGTTGCTGAGAATGTACTCAGGAAAATCAGTGTCTGCTCTATCTTTAGAGTATATTTTGAATTATAAATTCAATATGGATGATGAGGATTATTATAAATGGATTTTTAAGCTCAAACTCAACAAGAAGGTTGAGATTTTTTGGTGGAGGCTTGGGAAATATGCAATTCCCATGAATTTGTTTCTTCATTACTGTAGGAATACTGTGGATTATTCCTGTGCTAGAGGTTGTAATGTTGTTAAGAGTTATGAACACATTATGGTCCATTGCAAATTTATGATTGCAGTTATTAACCAGATGCTTGATTGGGGCATTTCCATTCCAGTTTTCCATTCTCTAGACAGCTGTTTGCAGGAGTTAAGAAGGCTGACTTCTCGGAATTCTGGCATTGTTAAAATTTACTGTACTATTGTCTATCTTTCTTGGAAGAATAGGAATGGTGTGAAACATGGCAAAGCTGCTTTGCCTTCTTCTGTGGTAGCTTCAAATGCTTTGTCTCTGGCCATTACTAAAGCTAGTCCACATCTTTCCATCTGGGGAACTAATCTCCTTAGGGAGTCTCATGAGTCTTGGTGCCCCCCTCCGAAAGACTGGATGAAGATCAATGTAGATGCATCATTGCTTAGATCTAACTGTGCTGGAATCGGTGGCATCTTCAGAGATCATAAGGGAAGGTTTATTCTTGCTTTTGGGAAGAATAAAGTCCATTGGGACATAACCAAACTTGAATTGGAGGTTGTATTCTCGGTGAGGGAATATATTAGGAGTTGGATGCTTGAGTACGAAGGGGTGATTATAGAGAGTGACAACCTCAATGTCATTACTTCCATCCAAGATTCTTTCAAAAAGAATAAGTGGATTATGAATAGCTGGCCTTCGGACGAGCTTCTCTTTTTCAATGACTTCTATAAAGTGGTTTTCCATCATGTTCATAGAAGATGTAATAAGGTAGCCAATGTATGTGCTACTATGGCTCTTAATAGTAGCTTCTTTTTTGATAGTTTCTCTTTTGATAACATTCCTCCCTTGTTATTGAATTCAATCAAGGAGGAATATGATTCTTTTTCTTCTTATCAATTGTAATTAGCCTCTTTTCTTTTACATAATGCAATTTGATGCACTTCTTTTAAAAAAAAAAAAAACATTGATTCCTGATATTTACTTCATAAAATCAATGCCCGACTCTCCACAATATTGTCATCTCCTCTCTCAATGACTAATAAACGGCATCAATGCCTGACTCTCGACATCCTAATGTTAATTATTTTAAGCACAAATTCTTATTAAATGACTTATTATTTCGAAAATATTTTTAAAATTATAATTATTCAATTTTTATATACTATTTTTAAAATATAGAAACTACAATACCATGTTCAACCCATGTCTATGTCTTATATTTTCTATAATTGATATATCTCATGTCCATGTCAAGTCATATTTTTGTCGCCGTGTTCATGTCTGTGCATCTTAGTTGAATACTTGCACAACTATCAAATATAGTATTGTGTGAGCATCATCAACATGCCCATATATCCAACAAATTTTTTTGCACATCCAAAAGTCTCATCTGCTCATGCTAAAAATAGGACCTCTGCTAGTATTTCACTCAAACATGAACATTAAATTAACGTTTCAACTTTCTTTAGTCTAAGGAAAGATATCCCACTCTGGATTTACCAAGAGGGGATTTATTTCAACCCATTCAAATGACATGAGAAAATAAGGATGTTGTTGAGGAAAAAAACAATCATAGTGAGCGTATCACATAATATACTAGCAAACACATAAGGATTTCATCAATGCATATTTAAAAAGAAGCTTATTTATCCAGTACCAATCATACACCATGAAAGGATTATTTCCATTATGTGATCCTATGACCTCTATGTATGCCGCAATAAAGGAAAATTAATCATAGCTTCAGGCCTACATTCTAAGCATGTCATATGCTATTGACTGCAAAATCACTGCTTCAGATTTACATTAAAAATTAACATTCTTATTCAAACTTTAAAAACTTTGAACGTGTGTTGGTTTGAAATAACAAAAAGGGTCACTGTTTATGGCATTATATAACTCGTAGAACATGAATAGTTTCAAAAGTAGAGTGAAAGTTGGATCAAGCCAACTGGCATGCAACCAAATAATAAAAGCAACTCCCAGAGTGTCCATGACCAGTTATAGATAGTTATAGAACTTCCAACCACGAAGAAGATCTTAGCGGAAATAGCAAATTATGTGAATTAAGTCAACCATGTCTTATATATAACGCAAGCAAGTGAAAAAGATTGCTTTCAGATGTGAATTCTCACAGACATAGGATGCAATAGGTGACTTCACGGTCCTTGTCAAGACTTTTTTTGGGTTTAGATCCTTCTTCTTACACTTGATGAAGGCCATGTTCTCAGCTCGGCATTTAAAGGCGATGTGCTTCGATGCTGCAATAAGAACTGATGAACTAGGTATTGGATTTCCCGATGGATTGATGTTGGTACTCAACATCTACGATTCTCCCTTATCTGCGCCATACAGAATCAGGGGTTATAGATGATCGAAGCATAAGACAGATCGAAACCTGCATCAGTGTTTTAGTTTATACCTGGCTTTGGAGATGGTTCCACTAGAAATAATTGGAGTGGAAAACAAATGGAGCAAATAGATAAACTCAGTTTTTTCTCCTCCGGCTAGGTAACAGCGAGAGGTTATGAGTTCGATCAATTGAAGCCGAGCAGTCTCGATCGGTAACGAGTTTCTACTAATTTTCGGCCAATCAAACTTTAGATAAATTATTTTGAAACTAATGTATTTTATACGTCAAAATTATAAATATGGCTTTTAGTATTCAAAATTAGTTAATTATGCAAAATATTTTATTTCTTATAAAAATTTTGGATAACTTCTAAGAAAGGTTCAAACATAATTTAATATGGTTCGAATATGATGGGAATAATATTTGAATATTATTCCCACATGAATTAGTAGGGTTCGAATATGGTTAGAATAGTATTTGGTCTAGATTGGAATTATATTACAGTATGATTGATTAAGTTCAATGATGGGTGGAATGAGATTTGAACCTTGTTCAATCCTTATTTTAATATGATTTGAATTGTATGATTTTGTCCTCACTATCTCTTTTAGAATTGACTTGTTTGAGTTATTTTATTATGTATGTAGTTGCCTTCTCTAATTATGTTTGTATAGAGGCAATATAATATATTCAGATCATATATAGAGTGTGGGTGTGAGGAGAAAATTGTTTGGCACTACAAGGTTAATGAGATCATTATCATGTAGAGAGATCTCCCTTTAGCAATTCTTCAAATGTACTTAACTATAATTGATGGAGGAAGGTAGCCTTTTTTGTTATATTAATGACTATCAAAGACTATGGATCTTTAATTTAAAAATTAGAGAGGTGTTTTAAATTATATGGTGGAATGATGAAGGGTTTAAAGGGGCATATTTGTAGGATGCTAAGACTAGTCTAGCTTGGATAACTTTTGGTTGATTTGGAGACCACTTTAGGGACTGACTTTTATGTTAGATGAATGATTGAAAATGATGGTGGAAGGTTAGATTAGGATATGAACTTGTGATCTAAAGTTAATGGTAGAGTTTGATGGAGTTTAATAGAACATTGAAGTGTAGAGAATATTACTAGGTCTAAGTGTTCGCTAGTTGGGTCAATGGCTATGTGGAAGTGTTTAGAATAGTTTTATGAAATTAGTTGTTAGATTATTAGTCTTAAAGGATACTTAAGAAGTAGAGAAAGTGTTGTGAAAAATTTAGAGCACGTGTTTAAGAGGAGTTATGAATAACATAACGAAATAAAAATAAAAACCAAATCTCACCAAACAAAGGCATACACATGAAGCCACAAAGAACCTAACAAATGAAGGAAACTTCTCCATAAATTCTTTTAGTTCATAAAATCAAAAATTATAATGCATATCATCCCATAATACTAAGCATTACAAGACTAGCTTTAGAGGGGAAAATGGAGGGAAAGAGAGGGTTGGTAGATGTTAAAAAGTTTTAACCACCCTTTTTTTTTAATATCTCATTCATTCCAAATCTTTTCATGGTTGACCAAGCTTTTAGATGAAAGATAAAATGAAATATGTAATAATCTGATTATATGTAATCTATACGTCAAAAGAATTAAAATTTGATTTCAAAATACCTCTAAAATCTTAGACCAGACAATCTTGTCCATATATCTTCCTCTCCCTACTCAATTGGGTCCTTCCTTTTTTCCTAAAATATCAAAGAAGCATAATACAGTGAGTTTCACTAGCTTAATAGATTTCTTTAAAACTTCCATCATACATATCAATACCCATTCTAATATTAAGAATAATTATTTAAGTATTTAATTAATTAATAAAATATAACTTAAATGTTAACAAAAAATAAACTCATAATAGTTGTCATAATGCAGTTGGTTTTAGAGTCACTACTTGTACTTTCAATAATAGACTTCATAGAGGTTAAAAAATAAACTCACCACCAGAACATTTCATGTACTTCTAATACTTTATTTCATCATAATATATATAGAAGATTCAGAGTTATCAGAATTAGTTGTACTAAATTCATGAAAATTTTAGAATATGTAATGTATGAATAACATGCAAATTTCTCGATGTATGCTTACAACTCCACTTTCACTTAAAATAGAACAAAATATAATAACCTCTCAAACATGCATTCAACAAGTGGGGCCATAATCCCTCCTACATCCACATGAAATAAATGGGGGATAGAATAAAATATACAAGACCTTTATTTCAATTTAGAGAGTACACTAATCACATTTTAGAGATCAAAACTTCTACAACATCATGCTATGAATTATGCAAACTAAATGTAACAGTAGCTTATTATGACTTTAACATATGAATATGATGATTCATTTCAATAATAATTTTTTAGGAATATCTAAAACAATATTTTGAGACTTTTAAAGAACTATTATGACAATTAGAAAGGCTTCATTTCCTCAACATGCATAAAAATCATCACAGATAAAAACAACTGGTAAAAATTTGACTTGTTATAGTCAAAGTATTTAGAGTAAAATATATAGTAATATACAAAAAGTTGCATTGTTAAAATAATATAAAACTTAAATTTTTTTTTTTAACTTATTATAAAACTATTGGAATTTAAATCAAAGATAGGTGTTTAAAATCCTACCTCGTGCTCTATGGCATCTTTAACTAGCCCGATAGTAAAATATGAGGTATGACCTACAAATCTCACCCTATTTATTCTCTCACCTCTTTCCTTTCTCTCCCTTTTCTCATTTCTATCTCTGACAAGTGAAGGTCTAGGATGCAAGGTTAACGAGTCTTAAAAAATGTTTTTAGATATTTATTTTTAAAAATATCATTTTAGGTCCAACACTATGGCGCTTAGTTCCTCAACACTACTGTGCTAAAATAGAATATTCCAAATGTTCCCATATTCCTCAAATTTGAGGGTGATCTGAGGTTATGCCAGTCAGCACCACAGCGCCCCTATAAATTCCCTTACCAAATAGAGTGGACAATGTCACTACGCTGCCTCTCCCAATGTCGTAATGCTCCAATAACACTTTGGTTGATCATGATTTCCTCTTTTCCTACTCAAATTATTAGCTTATTTAGGGTTAATCAAGCACCATAGAACTTATAATACATAAACAAACTAAGATTAAGCAAAAAATTAATCTAAATTAAGTTAATTATCTGAGTTTTGTTATAGTGGATGTTACATGTCCGTCCTAAGTATGATAATAAATTTATTGGCTAGTTATAAAATATTATTAGTACAATCAATCCTAGAAATTAAGTTTTCAAAGGTATTCAGGTATTCAATTATAGGGATACTACATTACTTAGGAGTTAATAAATATCCAAGTAATTTCTTATGACAATGCCTATCGTAGTATTTGGTTCTTGACATCTCCTTCATTTGAAACCAATTAAAAGTGGTTTGTTCTTACATTTGTTCTTTGGAAAAAGTATATTTTTGAATAGATCTTAACATATATAGTTAATTTCATTTTAGAAAAAAAAAAAACATCCATCATATAATAGTTGAATAAATTGTCCATTTTGACTAACCATGCTTAGAATATATTGGGTCATGAGTAGCTCATAGACTAGAGCTATAACTTTAACTCTCCTAGAATGACCTTTAAAATCACCAAAGTTCCTATGAGTATTCCTTAGGTTGGAATTCTTTATATTATGTTGATCTTCTCTTTAATCTATGTAAGACATGTTATCTTCTATATGTGTATTGTGAGTTTGGGTAGGGGATATGATAGGATTTCTATTATTTTGCAAAAAAATTTAGAATAGTATATATTTGGTCTTTTAGTCTTTATATTTGAGTTTTAGGCTCCTCAAATGGTTCCTTGATCTTAATATCATTTTCATGAATCCTAAGATCGAAGAAATCAACTATCATGGTAAATTTTTTATTTGATCATGTAAAGCTAATTTATGTGTTAAGAGATGATTTTTTTTTATAAATATGAAGAAAGAGATAAGGGGGAAATGGCTATAGATGTGAGAGAGTGAAATTTAAAATATAGGTGAAAAAAATGTAGTATAAGATTAAAAAACTTCGAAATGAGGAGAGGGGTAGAAAGACTTCATACATCCTAAGCTCTTCCTAAGTAATGTAGACATATTTTAATAAAGTTCATTTAAAATGTAAACATACTAAATTTAATAAACATATATCCTTATGTATAAAATGTTGAGTAAATGAAATGCCCAAACCTATAAGCCTTAGTTTATAAGATGGAAACTACTCAAATTTTGATAAATAATTAACCAATTTTACCCTAAGTAATTAAATTAAAAAGTAAGAAAGATAATGTAAATTATTGATTGCATTATGGTGATGTTGTAGTTTTCTAGAGGTGGAGCACACCGTTATCAAGATTTTCACTCAAAATAAAAGTTTATGGGTAGATTCACATGGAGATATTGGCTAGGCTTTATGGTGGAGCTTGCTAATTGAATATTTGCTTACACCAAAAACTTAAAATAAATATATAAAAATCTAAGAAATTAATATCAAAAAAATCTATCATTGGAAGGATTTGTTAACCTAAAACTTCATAACGGTTATAAATGGTGTAACTGCATTAATTATTGCAACTTAGTTTTCACAAAACTAAATTTTCAGCAAACTTAGTTTCTAAGTGTGTTTTTGATGATTCCAAAATCTTAATGTGTTGATTACTGTTTCTTCTAACATATATTGGAACTAATATTTTTGTTGTTTATGTTTACTAATATTTTAGAAAAATCATACTCTAAACTGCTGAAGACTTCAAGATAGATTAGATTAGGGTTTATTGTATTTGAAATCTGTACTTTTTATACTTTTCTTGAGTCTGAGAGAGTGTGATTGTAATTGGGTAACCATGCACACACACTCTCTGGGAGTGTAAAAATTTGTAATTTTTTAAAACTAATCATATTGTATGATTTTGGATCATACAAGATGATTTGACCTGAGTATTCCTCTAGAAAGTAGTTAATCGAACCATGCCAGGAAAATTTTCTATGTCTTGTTCTTACTGTTCCTACTGCATGAAGTTACCTTTGTACAGACGACATCCAGAGTATGAAATAGTTACATCCAAGTTCGTCCCGATGAACTCATAATTTTTTGAACTGTTCATACTGTACAATCTTAGATTCGTACAAATGATGTCCAGAGTATGAAATGGTTGTAAATCTTTTCATCCA